ATATAAGCGTAATCCCATTCTTACAAAACTAGCTTTCTCCTACCGCCCGCACTACTAAGTTGTAACTCCCATTTAACTTCATGACTAATTAAATGAAACACAACCAAATACAAACGTTTCACAAGAATGCTGCCAGATCCTATACACAAGTTATCTGGGCGCATTATTTATTCTCTAATTACATACTTGCAAGGCATAGTCGAGAGAACCTACTTGTAGGACACCCTGACGGCAACGAAAGCTCTCTCACAACAGGTCAAACGGCGTTTTTATAAATTTCTGAAATGTATTTCTTGCCTCACCGTTTGGTATAGCGCAACGCTTTTCTCAAGAGATCACTTTGAACACTGAGCACTCACTCAAATAACAAAAGAGGATAAGCCTCGTATACGATGGCGCTCATTTGCTGAATGTAGTGTTACGAGCCGCGTCGGTGGCCTCAGCGGACCAAGTAGGTAGCGTGGAGCTGGGTGGTGGTCGTCATTCCGTAGACCATGGGGACGTTTAGAACTCCGGCAGAGGGACCGGCGTAGAGGAAAACTTAACAAGATGTCTATTTGTGACATGTCGGAGTGTAACGTCCGAAGGACGACTCTTCTCGCGACTCTCTCCTCTTTTCTCCTCGCGGGCTGCTCCCGCTGCCTCACCGTCCAGTTCGAAAGATAAGGGCGGAATGTCACTTCGGGGAACCAACCACTCAAGGAGAGCACAACACAAGACAAGTATCTCTTCACGCACGTGGCAGACGCACGTGGTACACACGCGGGGACTCGGAGGCGACCACGCAGGAGGAATTCACGGGAGTCGCTCCTACAGCACACAACCGGCAGCACACAACCGGCCTTCCGCACATGCCAGAGGAGCCCGCTCGTGGCCACTGCCCCGCAGGCGAAGCGCACAGCCGGGACAAAGACAGCCGGTGGAGGTGACAACCCGTACCCCATAAAAGAATGTTCGATATGACGGGAAGTCACGCTTGGGGGCAGCTGGCCCAAGGACTTCGTTACTGCTTTGTAACAGCTTCCCCGGCGGCCGGCCGAGACCTCGACCTAGAAAGGTCATGCACTTTTGTGAGGAGAGGTTGATGAAAACAATGCTGGTGTTCTGAAGCCGTGGACACCTCAATGCGGTTCTGCTGCATTCTTCTGCCACCCACTGTGATCTCGAGCCTCTGGTAGTGTCATCCAAAATCGGAGAAAGGCTCCCGCTCTGCTGACCAACATTCCTTCTCGAAAGACAGCACCTGTGTCTACCACGCGAGAAACACAACCGCCAAGCAGGCAAGCGCCCATACTCTCTTCCCGAGACTCACCAGGCTTTTACTTCATCCAAAACGACCTGTTCTTCTGTAAAATAGCAGCAGCAATTCCAATAACCCAACCTGAAATAGGCTGCTCAAATTCACAAACACGTGTCGTGATAAAGCACAATTACAAAAAAAGCAATTGTAAACCTGTCACACACAAAAAAATCGAAGCTAAATACCCAAGTCAGATTACCTGACGCCATCAAGATCCCTAGAAACAACGACTTAAGCTGTCAGCGTCGCCATTCAATTTGCCTCTGTTGTAACAATTTTTGAAAGAGTATTGTTGCAATAGCAAGCTCCAGCTAAGTTGCTGGCCGTTCTTAGGTAACATCGTTTGCAACCACGTGAGGGGACAGTGGTCCGTCTCGATAATAAACTCTGATCCCGCGAGATAGCATGCGAGCTTCTGAACCGCCCATACAACACAGGCGCATTCTTTCTCTGAAGCGCTACACGCTTCCTCCCTTACAGTTAGTTTGCGGCTTGCATATAACATGAAATGTTCCTCCCCTGCGTCGTTTCTCTGACACAATACGAAGCCCATGCCGCGGTCACTTGTATCGCACTGAACCATGAAGGGTCTAGTGTAATCGGGGACTTGAAGTACAGGTTGGCTCATGAGCGCATTTTTCAACGCTAAGAATTCCCTCGATTTCTTTTCGTCCTACTCCAGGATCTGAGGTTCGGTTTTTCTAAGAGCGTCAGTAAGCGGGCTGGCAAGCTCTGAATAACGGGGAATGTAATGCTGGCAGTAACCTGCCAATCTTAGGAACGACCGCACATCCGTCTTTGTCCAGGGCTGCGGAAAATCATTAACTGCCGCCACTTTGACATCGGAAGGTCTGCGGTGGCCTTGCCCCACTATGCGACCCAGGTAAGTAACCTCTGCTCGAACAAGTTGGCACTTCCGAGCCTTCACGGTAAGACCTGCTTCGCGGAAACGTTGAAGCACTGCTCGCAAGGGAGTGAGATGTTCTGACCATGACCCTAAAATACAGCTACATTATCTAGATAAGACAGGGAAAACCCCTCAAAACCCCACAATACCTTGTCCACGAGAGCCGAGAAACAGTAGGGGCATACTTTAAGCCGAAGGTCAACACCTAAGGGTGGTATGTTCTTATGGAAGAAATAAATGCCGCATATCTGCTGGCCCTTTCGGTCAGGGGCACCTGTCAATAACCCCGAACGAGGTCGAAGGTAGAGATGTACTTAGCACTGCTTACTGCTTCAATTCTTTCCTCTATATTTGGTATAGGGTAGGTCTGATCCTTTGTTATGAGATTCAACCTCCGGTAATCAACGCACGGTCGCGGATCTTTCCCAGGAACCTCCACTAATATAAGTGGAGAGGTATAATCGTTTTTACAAGCTTCATTCACATCAAGCTCGAGCATTCTTTTAATCTCGGCCTCAATAATGGTGCGCTGACGCGACGACACTCGATACGCCTTTGACCGCACGATCTGAGTGGCCGTAAGCTCTATGTCATGCACTACCAAATTTGTTCGGCCCGGTTTTTCCGAGAACATGTCCTCATATTCTATCAGGAGGCTTTCTAGGTCACGCTTCTCGTTAGCTGTGAGCTTAGCTGCCTCAACCATGGCCTTGAGCGTTTGACCAGCGTTACCCTCCTTTCTTTCCGCTCCCGAAAAGGGGAAATCTTAAGGTGGCTCTTCGGGAACGTTTACCGCCATGTTTACGACAATCTCTCTCTCTCGATATGGTTTGAGCAGATTGCTGTGGCAGATCTGCTGCGTCTTACGTCTACCTGGCATCTTTACTAGACAGTTTGTGTCAAACAGTCTTTGAACGACCTCCACCGGACCTTCCCAATGGAGATCTAGCTTATTCTTTTGTGAAGGTTTCAGTCGCATTACTTGATCTCCAGCTTCAAACCGGCGCGATCTTGCCGACCTGTCGTAGTAGCGTTTGGCCCGAGCCTGTGTCTTGCTTATCTCATCCCCTGCCAGCTCCTGTGCTCTACGCAACCTCTCTAGCAGAGTTAGCACATATTTAACCACTGTAGGGTCCTGCGCTCGACCTTCCTATGACTCACGAAGAATACGGAGTGGGGATCGCAGAGAGCGACTATAGACCAATCCTGTTGGGGTATATCCAGTGGCTTCATGAGGTGCAGTCCTGAGCGCAAATATGATTGCTGGCAAGCACACATCCCAGTCGACTTTGCGCTCGAAGCAGAGTGCTCGAAGAACGCGTTTCATTACCGAGTGTAACTTTTCAACTGGGTTTAACTGGGGTTGATATACCGAGCTGTGGATTAATCGGATTCCACATTTCTCTAAGAAAGTTGTAGTCAGTGCGCTCGTGAAAACGGTCCCCTGATCGCACTGTATTTCAGCGGGAAAGCCCACGCGTGCGAAAATAGACAACAGCGCGTTTACCACTTCTACCGAGCTCAGTTCCTTTAGGGGAATTAATATAACGTAGATTATCAGGTGCACGCGCCGAAGAACATACCGATAACACGTGCCTCCACCCCTCGCCACGGCGCATGCTCCGACCTCGGGCCAGGGTATTAAAACCAAGACAGCAGCCTCGTGAATAAACATTGTTGTTCCTTCTTGTTCTAGCCATGCATCGTCTTATTCTTCGCCCTTACGATACTACAGTGGCGACGAGGATGGGATCCGGTTAATTGCACTCCGACGCTGAGACCAGAAGAATGGGATCCCGACCCCCTGCCTTCGACGACGCCGTGAGTAGCTGGAGCACGTATCGTGTCCGGTTGGAAGCCTACTTTGAGGGCAACGATATTACCGACGTAGCGAAACGCCGGGCCCTACTGGTTTCATCGTTGAGCGACAGTGTCGTCCGGATATTGCAAGGGCACCAGCCGGGTGTCGCCATCAACTCCTTGACGTACGATGACGTTGTGAAATGCTTGGAAGAACATTTCAACCCTCAGGCGAACGAAATAGCAGCAAGCTATTCTTTCTTTATGCGAAAACAAGATGAGCAAGAAAGCGTCCGGGACTACATTGCTGAACTGAGAAGACTGGCCGTAAATTGTAATTTCGGGGCGACACTGGACCGTATGTTGCGGGACCGAATCGTTTGTGGGATTCGGGATGAGGAAACGCGCCGGTGCCTGCTGGGCCGCAAGAACTTGACTCGTGAAGAAGCCGAAGAATTCGCCTTAGCTTCTGAGAAAGCGAACGAAGACGCTCGGGGCATGCGTACTTCATACGCCCGGACCGAAGGTGGCGGCGTCAACGTGATACAGCAACAAGGCAGACAGTGGAGGAAGAATTGCAGCCTTTCATGCGACAGATGCAAAGGGGCGCATGCAACGGCGTCCTGTCGACATCGCAGATCCATATGCCATCAATGTGGTAAAAGAGGGCATCTTGCTAGGGCTTGCAAAAGACCCCACACCCCCAGGTCAGGAACGTTCGCTGTCGACGGAACCGAATGTGAAAGCGAAGAAGAGAGGTTGTATGCTCTCGTTGCACACAGTTCCGCCAATAAGCACTTGGTGCAGCCAATCAAGCGCACCTTAACGTGGGAAGGCCGTAGGCTGCGAATGATTGTCGATACTGGATCACCAGTAAGCGTGATTCCCAAAAGCTTGTACAAGAAGCATCGCAAGTGGTGGCCGGCTCTGCAAAAAACTCCACTACGCCTTTCATGTTTCCTGGGACCGTTGCCGGTCGTTGGCAAGGTAGACATGCAGGTACAGCTTGGACCAGTAACGGTGAGCAGTTCGCTGATAGTAGTGGACCATCGAGGGCCCCTTTTGTGCGGAAGGGACATGATAGAGGAATTTCGCAAAGCAGGCATGTTGCTAGTAGAAGGCACGTCGTCTTCGGTGAATGTTGTTCACGCCGACAGCCAGCTAACCGCACTTCTTGACGAGTTTCCGGACCTCTTTGAGAACCTCGGATGCTGTAAGGGACCACCGGTGAAGCTGTACCTCAAGGAAAGTGCGCAACCTCGATTTCTGAAGGTTCAGACAGTCCCGTATGCCATGAGAGCGCAAGTCTCCGCCGAAATTGACCGACTGGTGGAAGTGGGCGTGCTGTCCCCAGTGAGCGTGGCTGAATGGGCAACACCGGTCGTGCCCGTAGTAAAGAAGAACGGAGACATCCGGCTGTGTGGGGACTTTAAGTTAACAGTTAATCCAGCGACAAGAACAGAGCAGTACCCGCTTCCGAAAATTGACGATATCTTTGCGGCGCTATCAGGAGGCGAAGTGTTCAGCACACTCGACTTACGAAACGCATACAACCAGCTTCCCCTGGATGATGATGCTAAGAAGATAACTGTGTTGAATACACACAAAGGCCTCTTCTGCTAGAACCGCTTGGCTTTTGGCGTTGCCTCAGCGCCTGCGCTGTTTCAGCGGCGCATAGAAGCCGTGCTGCAGGGTATACCAGGGGTGAAAGTTTACCTGGACGACATTATTGTAGCAGAAAAAGAGTATGACACAACGATACTGCGGCAAGTGTTCGAACGGCCTAACACTGAACAAGGAGAAGTGCCACTTCCGGGAGAAAGAAGTGGTATTTCTAGGGCACCGAATCGATGCAAAAGGCCTCCACCCACTGCAGGACAATTTGGAAGCAGTGCTAGCGGCACCGCCACCGACTTCGGTAAGCCAGCTTAAATCATTCTTAGGACTGGTCACATACTATTCCAAATTTCTACCGAACTTGTCGTCCACTTTGGCCCTGTTACACCGACTCTTGTCTAAAGGAGCACTGTAGGGTTGGGGGCCCGCACAGAGAACAGCATTCCAAGAAACCAAGCGCGCCATGAGAAGGGCGAACTTTCTTGTGCATTACGACCCCCAAAGACCCTTGCGGCTTGAGTGTGATGCGTCGGCTGAGGGTATAGGCGCAATTTTGTCGCACCGCATACAAGGAGTGGATCATCCCATAGCGTTCCGCTCGAGAACTCTAACGTCGGCGGAACGTAATTATTCACAATTGGAAAAGGAGGCACTAGGGCTGGTCTTCGGCGTTGTAAAATTTCGAGATTATTTGTTTGGCAACAAGTTCACTCTGGTGACCGATCACAAGCCTCTGACTGGTTTGCTAGGTCCAGATAAACCCATTCCGCAAATGGCAGCGGCCCGCATTCAACGTTGGGCGCTGCTCTTAGCAGCTTATCAATACGACTTGGAATACAGGAAAGGAGAGCTAAATGCAAATGCCGACGCTCTAAGCCGGTTGCCATTACCGGTTCGCGATAATGGCTGGGAAAATGAACTAGCCGAATATGCCCTGCATGCGCAGGCTATGGATGATTTTGTTTTGTCTGCGCAGAGTATTTCAGACCACACCAGCAAAGATGACGTACTTCAGCAAGTGAAGACTTGGATCTTGCAAGGCTGGCCAAGGCGTCTCGGTTCAGAGGAACAGCAGTACCAACCGTATTTTGCACGTAGGCATGAATTGGCCGTGAGTAACGGGATACTCTACTGGGGTCACCGTGTGGTTCTGCCTAAAGCTGCCCGGCAATTTGTTTTGAAAGAGTTGCACGATACGCACCCAGGCATGACGGCAATGAAGAACCTCGCGCGCTCAATTTTCTGGTACCCAGGGCTAGACGGTGAAATAGAAATGCTTGCAAAACGGTGTCCCCAATGCGTGCAGTGTTTTCCCATTCCCCCAGTGCAGGTCCCGGCAAGCTGGCCAAAGAACAACAGACGGTGGTACCGCCTACACGTGAATTTTGCTGGTCCCGTGGAAGGACATATGATCTTCGTCCTCGTCGACGCCGAGACTAAGTGGATCGAAGCAGTGCCCTTGAAGACGGCGACAGCAGCGACTACGGTAGACACACTTAGGTGCATTTTCGCGCGATTTGGCATACCACGGACTGTCGTGTCGGATAATGGTCCGCAATTCACCAGTGCAGAGACAGCGCGGTTCTTCCGGGAAAATGGGGTGCGCCACGTAACGACGGCCCCATACTACCCGCAATCCAACGGTTTGGCGGAACGGGCAGTACGCACCATCAAGGAGGGCCTGAAGAAAAATCGGGTGGGAACGCTGCAAAGTCGGCTTGCCAAATTTTTGTTGCGTTACAGGACAACACCGACCCGAGAGGAGCAGTCGCCCGCGGAAAGGCTTTTTGGATTCCAACCACGGACCCGCCTGAGCACCTACCTGGCAGAGGAAGACGGGGCGAAGAGGGAGGCTACCGTCAACGGAGTTCCGAACTCTGGAAAGAAAGAGTTTGCACCAGGAAGGGAGGTGTGGAGTCGACAGTAGTCAGCTAGGTCAAAGGTGGCTACCCGGAACCGTGACAACAGTCGAAGGCAAGCGATTGTTAACCGTTAACACGCCAAGGGGGGTGCAACGTAGACACGTCGATCAAGTACGACCACGCGACTCGTCGACACCGGTTAAGAAAGAACCGTGCGAAACGCCAATGGCCATGGAGCAATTGCCACTCTCATCCAGCGGCATCCAGTCAACTAGCAGCGAAGCCCTTCAGGCCGGTCTGTCCGAGCCTGGTGAGGAAGCGTCTGGCGGTGGCATCGAGCCAGCAAGTCCAAGGTCCACGGCAGAACCAATCCCACTCCGACGCTCCACCCGTGCCCGCAAGCCGCCGGATAGGTTCTAGCTCAGAGGGGAGGAAGTGATATATCGTAGATCATCAGGTGCACGCGCCGAAGAACATACCGATAACACGTGCCTCCACCCCTCGCCACGGCGCATGCTCCGGCCTCGGGCCAGGGTATTAAAACCAAGACAGCAGCCTCGTGAATAAACATTGTTGTTCCTTCTTGTTCTGGCCATACATCGTCTTATTCTTCGCCCTTATGATACTACAGGCACTGCCTCAAGAAACTTGGTCGCGGGGCAAATTACTGTTAAGACATGACGATAACCGGATGTTGTTATTGAAAGAGGCCCTACTGTGTCAGTCACGAGTCGACAAAAAGGCTCAGTGATCACCGGCATGAGCTTCATTGGGGCACGAACCTTATCCCCTGGTTTTCCTACGCGCTGACAGGTGTCGCAGGTTCTGACAAAATTCTACATTTCCCGGAAACAACCCAGCCAATAGTATTCCTGCAGCAGGTGATACTTCGTTTTTATGACCCCCAAGTGACCCGACCATGAGCTACCGTGAGCTAAGTGTAAAAGATCACGGTGGTAACGTTCCGGTACCACTAACTGATCAAACTGCACTCGTCTGCGATCTAGATACTTACGATAAAGCATCCCGGCCGGTTCTGATACATCACGTTTTTCTTTGAAATACCCTCGTTACTCGGACTCCTTATATTTTGAAGAGTGGGGTCTGCTCTTTGCTGTGATATCAGGGACGATCGATCCACTCCCAGCAAAGTCTGCAGGCTACTAGATGCAGGAGTAATCGTTTCCTCACAGACACTTCCACACTCAACAGGGTCTTCCTCGTTTTCATCCGTGCCTTCCTCGCTCACTTGATCAGTGCTTTGTGTGGTAATCGTGTCTACCATGTTCGCGGGCTCTCCATCTCTGGCTTTTCGGTGATTCTCGGAGGAACATCAAGCGGTGTGGCTCTAGTTGCGAGTTCTCGTGCCTTTGAGCGAGTGAGCGCGAACACAACCCCCTCACCATATGCTAGGTTCTTCTGTCCTAGCAACCAATCGGATCTGTTTGAAAACAAGTATGCATACTGCATTGGCAAATGAGCACATACCGCAGCCTCTATGTGCATTGTGGCAAAGGGGCCCCTGATGCTTACCTTAGTAATCGGAAGGCATACGCTTGATGGTTCTGCTGCTTGTTTATTCCAAGCGCACTATCCTGTGAAATGTTCAGCTTCAACATACGAGGGAGGACCACGTCCATTGTCGCTGCCGAATCCCGCAGCACGCGACACTCTTTTCCATTTACTATCATCTCTCTGATATATGGCTCCAGCAGTCGCATGTTTTCACCCTCGCTGTCGACTGAGAGACAAACAACTTTTGGACTCTTGCAGACGGCCGCAATGTGAACGGGCTTGTGGCATTTATAGCACACAAGTGGTCGCCTGCTTTTCAAACGCATTGTTTTGGTGCTTTTTCTCAACCGTGGTCTCATTAGTAATCTCTCGTTGCTTTTCGGGATCAGTGTTGCGCTCTCGGTTCTCTTGGACTGAATGTCCTCTCCACCCAGTTGCCTTTTTGATCTGGCCCTCCTGCTGGGGAATTTCACTTCTATCAAGCGCGCGGCGCGAAACAAAATCCTCCGCTAGCTCCGCGGCCCTCGACACAGTGGTTACCTCCTCCCTTTCTTGCACCCAGAGCCTAACGTCTTGGGGCAAACGACGGTAAAACTGCTTGAGTCCAAAACACTCCACGTTTTTCTCTTTATGCTCAAACGCCTTAGCCTCTTTGAGCCACTCTCTCATATTAGATGTTAACTTGTATGCGAAATCAGCATACGACTCGTCTTTCTGCTTTACGGTGTTCCAGAACTTCTGCCAGAATGCTTCCGCCGACAATCTATACTTTTTATTAGGCTCGACTTAACTTGGTCGTAATCATCTGCTTCCTCTTTTGTCAAGCGGGCAATTACCTCGGCAGCCTCACGGGTAGTAGGGTAAGCAAGCACTGCGGCCAGATAGTTTTGATAACACCCGCCTTCTCGCATGTGCGCTCGAAATATACCAAGAACAGACCCATGTCCTCTCCGGAGTGGTAAGGTTGCATTAGGTCTTTCATCCTGAACGACGTCCGTTCTACTCCACTAGACGCTTCGCTACCTTCACTACTACCTCGAGCCTTGAGCAGCTCCATTTCAAGGCGCTTCACCACAAGATCCCTTTCTGCTGCTTCACGTATGAGCCTCTCATTCCTCTCCTCAGCTTTGCGCGTTTCATGTTCGTCTATCAGCTCTAGACACTCTGAGAGCTCGTCGTCGTCTGCGTTAAGGTTCTCGATAGCCTCGATAATCTCTGGCTTTCTCATTTGTTCACGAACATCCAAACCCAAACTTTTAGCTAACTCTAGCAAAAGCGGTTTTTTCAGTGCCTTCAGATTCATGGTTGCTGTAAGTGTTGCTAACCTCACTACTACTAGGACGCTACATTCCCATGCACATGCCAACGTAGAATAGTTATTCAAATTTACCACCTATCCTACAAAACTCTAGATAAAGCCTGGTAAAATCTCAGTGAAGAAAAGTTAAGCACTCACCACACCCTGCAGCCATAATCTCGGGGGAGACAATCCCGATGCTGGCCCAAGCTTGTTGCAACTTGGCGTGAGCAGAATCCCGTCGCTGCCATCCAGTTGTAACGAGCCGTGTCGGTGGCCGCAGCGGACCCAGTAGGTAGCGTGGAGCTGGGTGGTGGTGGTCATTCCGCAGG